AGCTATAACGTCTTATAATTTGGAATGAATGAAGTAGAATTTAAGAAGTGTTAAATTTGGAATTGAAAAGTGAATCTATGCATTTCTCATCACTTAATAAACGGTGAAAGGAGATGGGATATCACATACTGCTTTCTAGAGTTTATCACAGCGCGTGTTTTCTCAAACTTTCGAGAGTTAATGACATAAACGAGTGCATATAGATTTTACACTTCTAAAAGCATACAACAACGTAACGTAAAAGGTAGCATCACAACGAGGTGCTTTTCTCGTACTAAATAATACATGGATCGGAGGAATGATTGAGCAATGCCAGTTTTAAATTGCAACGTATATCCAGAATACCTAATGCCTCACGAAGAAGATATATATTACTAAAAGTAAAGTAAATTTGAACTTAATAGCCTAAAGAATTCTATGAAGTGCTATTTACATAAATTAAGTAATTAAGAGAAAGAAGTAGCATCTTGTCTTACCTGTTTTTCGTCATCAGGTTGCCCCCGCCAATTTCTTCCCCATTTATCTTTAGTGGTCTCATCTCAATCAGGGGACACGAAAGCGCAAGACATGCATGACGTTGCCTCGATGCACTCGTATTTAAATATATGCTCGCAGTAATGGAATATCAGTGTCAAGTTTGTGTACCTTTGGCGTGACACTGCGTGGAGATATATGCTTTGCTTCGATAGAGTGGAAGTGTCCATATATGTCTGTAAGCAAACTAAGATGCTTTCATCGATAGATTGACCAAGCATAAAAGGTACGGAGTACATGTAAACATTTATATGTATGGCAAATAAAATTAATTATCAAGGTGAAATAAGAATATTGTGTGTAAGATAAGATCATTCAACGAACAAATACTTGTTTCTGCTTTCTTGGTCCATGAGTCTGACCAATCTCATCCATAGCTGCCTACAAATATTGTCTCCTCCACTGCGTGCTTCTTGCAGAGCACTGAGATATGCCTGAGTCCAGGGACAACGGGACAATGGAGAAAAGGCCCTCGCCAAACTCGCCGATTGAGCAGATTTGCCCGTCTCTGGCCTAAACGGCAGCGGATCTACCTCGACGGTAGCGAATGCGACCGGCCTACACCCGCGTTATGCGCTTGCTGCTCTAGCAGCAATTTCTTCTACTACTGAAAACTCTTTGGTTCTTAATTCAAAGTATAGGTATCTGCTTCATGCCGAATGGTTGATGGGTTCTTTTTCTTTCTTGTTATTTGATTATTTGATTTTGTATTCAATGGGTTTTTGTCAACATTTCCTGAGCATTTGAGACTGATGAATGCAATTCCCATATTTTCAAGACAGTGAGAGCCACATTCAAGAGTAAACAATACCTCAAGTTGCATTTAATTTCCTGATGTGTGACACGCTTCCAGGTATGCGGTGTTACCACCTGAATAAGGCATTGACAACACCCTAAAAGCGTGCTTCCAGGGTATGCAGTGTTACCACCCGAATAAGGCGTTCACACCGCCCTATAAGCCACGCTTCCAGGTATGCAGTGTTACCACCCGAATAAGGCGTTCACAACGCCCTAGAAGCCACTTTTACAGGTATGCATTGTTACCACCCGAGCAAGGCATTCACAAAGCCCTAAAAGCCACGTTTCTAGGTACACGGTGTTACCACCCGAATAAACCCCACGGCACCCGAGGAAGGATCTCGGCACCCGAGCAAAACACACGCCAGTCTTCAACACTTGAGGAAATTAAGGCTCGCTGCTTAAAGACCTCGAAACACGAGAAGGAGCACGTAGGTACTCATGGTACCTAAAAGTTACAGGGGAGCTGCGACACCCGAGGGCTGAGCTATCTACTAGCTTGTCATTATGTCCTACGGGGCTACTATCGAATATATGGGTCAGGGGTACTTGCACCACCTATATATTCGTCCACGTCGGGCTATCGTGCCAGAAGCCATGAAGGAAAAGGCCCACAAAGGCCGTGGAGGTCGATCAACATGAAGACCAAGGCACGCCAAAAATATCCAGAGATAGGCGTATCTAGACGATAGCATAGGATCAATCTATTGCGCATTCTATATAACAAACTAGAAAACCCATCTGTTAACCGATCGTCCTCATTGTAACCCTACCTCTCTGCCTATATAAAGGAGGGTAGGGACCTCGCGATCAGGATCCGATCCATCTCATATACTACGTAGCTAGGAGCAACGGCCCCTCTAACCGAGCATACGAATATAAAAAGAGCAGCAACATCAACTGGACTAGGGTTTTACATGCTACCGCGGCCTGAACCAGTATAAATTCTTATGCCCCATGTGCTACCATCTGATTCCTCTTACGCGATCACATTGCTAGGCATTGCTGGAGCTAAATCATCTGAGAGCTCCCAATCCAACGATCTCACGATGAGGACAAAGAAATTCTAACAAGGTAATTGGTTCTATTTGAAATAAGGCGAGAAGCTGATCGAGTGGTCGGTTGGGCCGGAGAAATCTTGATATTTAATCCGTAATCCATGCACCTCTCTACATTTGACTCCTGATTCGCAGACCTTTAAAAAATTGACCCCGTGCACGTGAATTCTTTTAACCTGAGGCATTATTCAAATTTTCTCTCATTTCCTAATTTTCAAGTGTAAGGCAAAGCTGATGTCCCTTGATGTGGAGTCCGCGCGCAGATCCAGGCAAGCCGCCGGCCATGGAGGGGGTAGCCGCGCCGCCGCCGGTCGGGCCTACCGCACGGGCTGGCATCCGTCTCTTCGATGCTGGTAGACGTCGCGAATAAATGAGCTGTATCGGTGAGATCCAACAGCAATAGCTAGGACTGATTTAAATAAAGAACGGAAAATTAGGATCATTTGTTTTTTAACGGGTTTTTTTTATACGCCACGCCCGGTATCCATTTGGCCGCATGCCTCCTCCAGAAGAAAACCTGCCTAGAGTACGTGGTTAGAAGGAGGGAGTAACTACTCCTAGGGAGTAGGAAATTTTTCCCTAAATAAAATTCAATTAAGAAAATTATAAGTAACTTTAAGTCGAAATGGCTTACTCCAAGGTTTCTGCACAATTAATTGAGCTGATGCATGTAGTCACAAATTCCACCTTACTCACGTTTGCTCATCTTAGAGAGAACAGAAATTAGTGATTGGTACTTATTATTCTCAATGGACAATGAATTCAGTGCTTTTGATTTCTGCTGATCATCTGGACTGTCCAATATAATAATATCATTATGATTACCCTCAAGGTCATGATTTTGCTAGAAGTTGGTAATTGTTGATGCTGTATTTTGTCATGAATTAAATCCTCAACAGCATTTGATTCAACAATATGATCCATTCTTGTAAAAACAAGAATAAACACATTATTTAACTCAAATATGTTTGCAGCTAAAACCAAACCAGAAAAAATATTTTTTTTCACATATTACAATGAATCAAATTGAATCAAATTGCGATCTTTTTTAATGGCACACAAGAGATTCCCCCAAGAAACAACGGGATGGGGAGGAGAGGAAGGAACGACGGGAAGGCGGAGTCTAGGACCGGGAGTGCGTAACTTGGGCTTAGGCGAGCGGAAAGGACGGAGTGGGCTGGCTATTGGGCTTTGATGAATGGGCTACACGAAAAAAAAGACCAGAAATTTTACCTTTTTATTATTAGGGATAGAAAAGGAATAGATGGATGACTTTAGCTTCAGCACTGGCGCAGTGGCGCCAGCGGTGCTTGCTGCTGGATTTTCCATCCACTCCGCCGTATGCCATGCCGGTGGAACATCAGGGTCTCGCCGAATTCACCATCTTGGCCACCAATCTCTTCCGATTTGAAGGAAGGGGGGGGGGGCGGGGCGGAGAGAGTATGGGCCATCCATTTTGGGTTGAGTTGGATCGAGCGAGTCATATCATGGACGGTGTGGAACAAGTCGCCAACCTGCCGCTGGGCCACCCTCTGCTGGGTTACCGGTCACCCGCGTAGTCAGGTCCTCAACTGGATTTGTGATTTGTGATTTTGCGGGCAGCGGCCGGACGTCGGAGATGAAGGTCTACAATATTTTCTCTTTCACAACAAATCAGCGGAAACAATATTTTGACTTGTTTTTTCAGCGAAACGAACAGGCCGAAGACGTTGGGGACCGAGAGACAGGAGGACATGGGGGTTATTGCTACCTGCTTTCACAAAGTTTTTTTTTCTAAGGGAGCTTAATAAAAGCGTGTTATTCAATTCCACAGCCGCGGTTTCAAACCAAACAGTGGTTGAGTTTGTCAAAAAAAAAAAAAAAAAAAGGTAGCGTCACCACCCCACTCGACTTTTCCAAGAAAGAAAGTTCGGTAGATAGCGATTGGCCATCACAAAGGGGAATTGCGATCTTCGCCTTTAGACAAAATCAAGAGTTTTACAAGTCGTCGTATCTTTTGGAGCACTTGTCAAGCAATCGTATCGCCGCTCCTATATTGTTTTCATTCACACCTGCACGGCTGGACCCCTGTTTGATGAATCGCGTGAACTGCCCCCCGCCGTCCGGTTTGGGACTTTGGGAGCCCCGGAGGACGGAGCGCACAAGAAATTTCCGTTGCGGCGTCCATTCACACGTCGCTATCAATCGTGGTCGCATCTTCGCGGTTCCCACGCTCCAAAACTCATGTCCAACAAGCGGAGACGACTCAGCTACCGAACGATGGAGACTTTGTGTGGCTACTCACGCCACGAAAGGTTGCAGGAAATTTCGCGTCCCTGCACAAAGGTACCACGAGAGGAGTTTTGGAGACTTTATAAAGGTACCGAACGATGGAGACTTTATAATTGTGTGGCTACTGACGCAACTTGACTTTTGTTCCGCGTTCTCGCCTGCGTTCGGCTCTATTAAATCGGCTTCCGACTTTTTTTTTTAAGAAAAATATTGTTCTACATCTAATCTATATGGATTAAAGTCGACTGAATAGCACGAACCAACACGCCGGCTCACCTCTCGTGGACCTATATAAGGTCCAGTACACCATGCGACATGGCAACAAGCAGGCTCGGGTAAATGGTGATGCACTCCAAGATCAAACTACCAATGCCTAATGATGGCGTACGCGCCGTGGCGACGCCCGTCGCGCGAGAGCCGCTGCTGCAGCAGCAGGACGCAGCAGCACCGCCGCAGCCACACGAGGCCGGCGATGGGCAGCCGCTCGACGCCGCGGGCGCCCGTGTCGCCAGCAGCTTCCCGTGGCTGCCGGCCGCGGGGTTCGCGTACCTGACGTTCAGCTCCGGGATGGCGCTACACCGGTGCTGGCCGGACCAAGGCGACGTGGCGTTCGTGGTGTCGGCGTACGCCGACCTGCTCCTGCTCTTCTGGTGCCTGCGGCGGTACGAGCGCGCGGAGCCCGGGTCGTCCCTCAGGGAGTGGCTGAAGCTGGCGGTGTGGCTGCTCACGTCCGCGCTCACGCTCCTCTTCTCGTACAAGGTGGCCGCCGTGATGCCGGCCGCCGTCGCGGCGGTCGTCTGGGTCATGGGCCTCGCCACCATCTGCGGTGGGTTCCTCGCATTCTTCTGCTTTCAGAAGAAGACGTGAGCGGTCGGGGACGGATCCTCGCGACGACCAACCCTCCCCCATCGTCCGTCCATCCACAAGCGTGAAACGGTAGAACGTCCTGTTTTGCTAGTGGCGGAACGGAAACAAGCAAGCCAGGCACTCGCGCGCACTGCCTGCACGCGGCCGGCGGCAAGGATCGACAGACGCGGGCGGCGCGGGCACCACAAGGGTTGTTTAGTTGTGCTCCTGTTCCCGGCCAGGCAGCCTGAATCGCGCTGCCTGGCCGGCGAGCTGCCTGCCTAACACCCCGAACACACCCACGCTCTCCCATCCCCTGCTTTCGTCGCCCTCTGTCTCTCAAGCTTTCCCTCGTCCTCTCGTTCTCAACTCCCAAGCTGATCTCTCCCGGCCCCGCTGGCCGGGCCGCGGTCTCTCTTTCGCTCTCCCAAGTAATTTAAATTCGCAACAACGCTCTCGCTCCAATCGAAGCAGGCAAGCGCTATTGTTATTGTCGACGTGGGTCGTCGGCGGTGTCATCTCTCCTGTGATTGAAGCACGCGGGCGCAATTGACTTCACCGGTGCTCGTGATTCCGACGGTTCCAGCTCGCCTCTTTCGCTTTCCTCGACCGGGCCCGATGCAACGAAATCATGCAAGTTGGTTCCCATTTTCCCCGCCCGTGGATGTCCAAGTGACGAGCTGAGGTCTCATTTTCGCCGGCGGACATCGCACGCGCATCCCATTTGCACTGCAGCACCACTTCCGGTCGCATTGCACACCCTGTCAGGACTCAGGACGACGTACGTCTGTGGCAAGGAGTAGGACGTCTGAGGTTAACTCCATTATTATATACTCCTACTTCAGGAGAGAGAGAAAATACTCGATCTTTCCACGGCAGTAGTACTAGTGTCTTCGGTTGAGCTTTCGTTTTAATAAATAAATATAAATGACCAATGTACAGTTATGTAATAATTAAGTGAGTGGGCATGCATGTATAGTGAAAGTTTAAGTAGCCTTTATACGTACAGGTGTTTCCAAAAACTGTCACAGTATAAATAAATAAAGCGTTTTCATTGTTCTTTTTGCTCAAAAGATGCTCCCCAAAGATTGATGCACGGGGCACATGTTGTTAATCTTGTGGATTTAGTCTTGGTTAACATGCATTCGAAAACCTGACTTCTACCGTCTCCATCCTATAAATAATGCGGTTCTGGTCCACGAAATACGTCCGACGGTGGAATGCCCACGGTAGTAGATAAATCGGTGGAGTTGTGAGTGAGGGAACCGGATGGTGACACAGAACGCAAGAGACAGCGATTAGACAGGTTTAGGCTGTCAGTTTGACGTAATACCCTACGTCATGTGTCTTTGTGGATTGTATTATGAGAGATTCGATAAAAACGAGGGATCCCTACCCACCTTATATAGGCCGGGGTAGGGTTACAGGTCGATTGTTTTGTATCCTAATCGGTTTACAAGATAGGAAGTACATAGATTGCGGAATCTAGCATATCTGAACAGATCATCCTTAAACGTCAGGGATCTTCATGCAGTCTTGCGAGGCACGCCGACCTATGCCATGCTCCGCGCGGCGTAGTCTTGCGGGCTGGGCCTCCCCTGGCTGTTCTGTCCATGTACAACCCTGTGGGTATCGGGGGTTATACCCCACAGCAAGTCCCTGAGTGCCTTGTATCCGTCGAGCAACACCGTCTTGAGCTTGTCCGAGCAGTTCAGCTTGTCGCCGGTCATCAGGAGCGTGCATCCGACCAGTTTAACTGGGAGCCAAGCTGTTGAAACAAGCATCCGAGCTGTTGAACACGTCGTCCGAGCTATCGAACACGGCATCCGAACTGTCGAACAAGGCGTCCGAGCTGTTGAAGCAGATGTCCGAGCATTTCAACTGGGAGCCGAGCTCGGACTCACGTGAAGTTGGGGTTTGTCGGCAGGATGTAAGGAGCTCAAGTAATTTTTTTTGAAGTCTCCATCTTAGTTGAAGTGTGCCCACTTAGGTTCCGGGCAGCGAAGTTAGATGCTTAGCGTCCCTGACTTAGTCAGCGCGGAGGAATTTAGTCCCTCAGAAACGAAGAGAGATGCTTAGCATCAATGCCTTAGGCAAAATTGACTCTTCGAGACAAAACATGGATCTTGAACTATTTCAGTCTACGACTTAGTCGCTTTGTAGAAGACCAAGTCCAAAAATAAGCACATTCACCGCTAGGTGAAGTGTGCCCTCTTAGTCCTCGAGCCTGGCAATAGGTGAAGTAATCACATGATGCTAGGGTCCAAAGTAGTAGTCATCATGTGCTAACCCAGTCTCCAGCTTAGCTGAAAACTAGTCCTCGGCGTAGCTGAGATAAGCAGCGTGGAGATAAATACAGTCATCGCAGATGACGTGTACACACGTAGTTTTCGAGCCTGTTGAAAGATTGCGAAGATATCTTGCAGCGGGGTCAAAGAAGAAAAATGTCTTGTCATAAATATATAAAAACTCCGTTGAAGCAACGCATAACATTGAATTCCGTTTCGTCGGCCCGCGTTTGACGCGGTAGCCCACTAGGCCTATTTAGCGACCCAGCGGGGCGCACAGAGATTTCGGGAGAGAACACGACAGGGCAGGCGTGGTTTCCCAAAAACCCTTGGAGGCGGAAGGTCAGGGGTCAAACCATTAAAGAGCGCTGCGTCCCCGGCGCACATTCACCACTATCTCCGCCGCTTCATCGTCCTCCTCGCGCCCACGCCGCTACGCCTGGCATCTGCTCCACCATTAGAGCAACCTCAAGCGCATAGTCCCCTCCAGGACATAGATATGTCAAATGGCATCGAAAAGAAACCACGATGGCTCGGGTAGGGGATCGCGCGAGCTCAATCACGTCGAAGAGTGGATGGAGTCCGTCAGCAACAAGGCGGCGCTCAATCAGTTGGTGGTGCACGGTGTGCTGCCTGATAGGGTGACGGCGGGATGGCATCCGGCTTGCGGTGAGAGCTTTCCTACTCCTCGTGGCGATGAATTAGTAGTTTTTGAAGATCACTTCTACCGTGGATTCGGTGTTCCAATCCATCCGTTTCTCCGCGGGTTGATTGATTATTACGGGATCAGTCTTTGCAATCTTAGCCCAAACTCCATCCTTTTATTTCTCTGTCTTCATCCATTTCTGTGAGGCCTATCTTGGCATTCTTCCCTATTTTGATCTCTTCCGCCACTTCTTTTGCTTGAAAGCCTGGGGGATCTAGATCTAGGATCGTAGGCGGTGCATACTTGCAGCTTTGGGACGCGATGGTGGGTCAATACATCGCTACCCCTTTGAACATGAATGTGAAGTATTAGGCGTGGCGATGGTTCTACATGCCACAGGTTGAACCATATGTGGCATGCGACGTTGATCAGATCCCCGTGAGCAATGCCAAGTGGTCGGAGAGGCCTAGGGCCAATTGAATGGAGCAAGTGACGGAGCTCTTGGCGCTGATAGACCAAAGAAGGTTGGATGAGGTGATTGTGGCAACAAATTTCACCTTTCGATGAGTCCAACCCATCAAGGAAAGGGCACATCCCAGGTATGAGTTTTGAGGAGAGACTGATGGGACCCATGAGGTTCCCGAGGAGATCAGTCGGGATCAAGCTAAATGGCGTATCTCGATGATGCTCAACCTTGCAGGGCATCTTAGGATCGACGACCAGCAGAGGCCCTTCCATGTAGGAGCCTCCCACCATGAGTAAGAGTCTTATTTTTTTTGGTTTCGCTTGTTCCTTTATGTGTTGTAATGTACTCATTCGTCTTCCTAAAGATTCGTGGGAAGGACCAGGCGGTGTACTTCTCGGTGGTGCCGTTGGCGGACTGGCCGAGGGGAGTTGACACCCGATCGAGCAGTCCCTGGCGTCGAGCCAGCTCGGAGACAGGTGGGGACAACTCAGCTGAAAGGTCCTAATGGCTAGAGGAGGGTGAATAGCCTATTAAAAATTTCTACAACAACACTTACCAAACCGGTTAGACAATTATAAGGCAAAGCGAGCGAGTGTTGCGCTAGCCTACTAAAATTGCAAGCCACCTACCATAATTCTAGTTTGTATAGTTTTTATCCACATAATGGCTATGTCACTACACTAAGTTAGTGTGCTCTCAAAGGCTAACTAAAGAGCCACACTAACCAAACTAACAAGCTCTCACAACTAGCTACACTAAAGAGCTTGACAACTAGTTTGCGGTAATATAAAGAGAGAGTGAGATGGTTATACCGCCAAGTCGAGGAATGAACCAATCAATCACAAGAATAAAAACCAATGAAGACCAATCACCTCAGAATCAAACGTTGACACAATGAATTTTTACTGAGGTTCACTTGCTTACCGGTAAGCTAGTCCTCATTGTGGCGATTCACTCACTTGGAGGTTCACGTGCTAATTGGTATCACACACCAAACCCTCAATAGGGTGCCACAAAACCAACACAAGATGAGGATCACACAAGCCATGAATAATTCACTAGAGTACCTTTTGGCTCTCCGCCGGGGAAAGGTCAAGAACCCCTCACAATCACCACGATCGGAGCCGGAGACAATCACCAACCTCCGCTCGATGATCCTCGCTGCTCCAAGCCATCTAGGTGGCGGCAACCACCAAGAATAACAAGCGAATCCCACAACAAAACACGAACACCAAGTGCCTCTAGATGAAAACACTCAAGCAATGCACTTGGATTCTCTCCCAATCTCACAAAGATGATGAATCAATGATGGAGATGAGTGGGAGGGCTTTGGCTAAGCTCACAGGGTTGCTATGTCAATGCAAATGGCCAAGAGAGTGACCTAGAGTCGGCCATGGGGCTTAAATAGAAGCCCCCATGAAATAGAGCCATTGTACCCTTTTACTGGGCATAACTCGGGGTGACCCAACGATCCGGTCATATCGACCGGACGAACACTGCCAGCGTTCGGTCAACAGATGGCTGCCACACCATCCCTCCCTTCAAATACTGAGCGCCCGATCCCAACGGTCAAGTGATGACCAGACGTAGCATAGTGCCATGATCGAACATAGGACCCCCA